TTTTGTTATTTTTCTTAATATATTCAGGCAAGTTGGTGTTTCTTGTTATTACATTGACATTCATTTTTGCTATAAAAATATCCAAATTGTTCAATGTTACAAGGGTAATAAGGTCTTGTCCCGTCCAATAACACTCTTGGCTTGAATTTTGATTTTTAAAGTATTTCACTGTGTGCCCTATCAGAATCAGACATACTTTAATAATCCCAGAGGGAAATTACAGTTTCAGTATAAAGGGATAACACATATTTGTTGTGTCCTGTTTACAGCTTGTAGAAAATGGCAGACAGAACTTGTTGTGGCTTTCTGACATGTTTTGCGGGTTTGCTGTTGTAATGAAAGCTTTGTATTTTTTCAAGAGATGTTAAAAGCTAAGGATTTTGTTTTGGAACCTGAGTATGGTTTTAACTTTATCCCATACGTGTCTCCTAAAGGAAATTTCTAAAACAACTTGTAGATATCACAAATGCCTGCCACACTTTTGAGCTTTTAAATGGTGGAAACCATGTATAATTTTTTTTCCAACTCAGGAGTTATGAACTCTATGTTGGTCTGTCACACACATTCCAGATAAAATACAATGGAAAACCATTTGATCAGGTGTGAAAACTTTGGGGTTTGTGAGAAGCTGTGATTGAATAGTGAAAAAGAACCAGCAAACGCTTTGCTGTTGTGAGGTTATAGCTTCACACTTCAGTATTTTCTCTGTGGGTTCTGTCTGTCTGTGTGCCTGAGGGCGTGTGATTGTTGCATTGCGCTCATAATAAGCCTCTGAGTGACTGGCAGAACCAATATCTTGCTTTTGCTTTGCCCTGCGTTCAGTCAGGCGGCTCGGTGTGCAGCTCCCGTCATGCATCTCAATTCCACAAACACAGTTTTCAGAGCCGAGAAACGGGGTCTGTTTTTTGATTAATGTCACCATGACAACTACATAATTCATGAATTGTATTAGCGATCCATTTTTCATTTGCAAATCATAATTCAGGATGTGTTTTGGGGAGGGCTGGCTTGAGAGGACAGAGTCGGGGCCTGCTATTGTCTCCTGCAATCATCCAGGGAAGAAGCGGGGGAAATGCTGACGCGTCCTTGTCCTTGTCTGGGAGGCAGAAGCTGCTTGTTTTGTAGGAGAGCACTTTTAGCTTCATAATGAACTCTCAGGTCTGCTCATTTGGGAAGCTTGCATGTTAATTCCCTCCTCTTCATCTGTCCGTCTGGCTGTCTGTTGACAGAGGCCTGGCCGGCTCTACACTGACACCATTTGGTGCAGCAGAGGAAGGAAATAAGAAGGCAGTTCATGAAAGCAGATCATTTCTAAATAGATCAATGGCTGGATTTTCACCGGAGCCCTAAAATGAAACAGGATTGTCCTCCTTTCTAAGCCAGATGGTGGGTTTTTCCCTGTTAGCTCAGCTGTACCGAGACCAGATCTGGATGTTACAAAGATATTTACCATCGATTTACTTTTTAAACCCTCAGAGTCCAGCAGGATAGAAGAAGACAAAATAGTTTTTTCTCTTGGATCTTTTCTTAGATATTAGAGTTTAGTGGAGGGAATCTTTGTGGCTTTGGTTCACTGCTAATACTTAACATTTTATTCACCCCTTTCAGGATTTCTACTCTTACCTAAGAGTACATTTAATGTTGGACTACATTTATCTTGCTCTTGTTTTGAAAGGCGCAGGATGACAGAGCCAAGTTTTAGAAGTAGCGATCAGAAGAAACAGCAGGAACATTTCCAGCTAATCCTATAAAGGTTTATGGATAAAGAACTTCAAGGACTGAACTCTGACGCTCAAATAAAATTAGCATATGAGGGCTTTTACTCCTCCCAGCTGGCTGGCTGAGCTCCGTATGCGTTAGATAAGATGTACCAAACAGATCTGCTCTGATATCCCCGGTTCCTCTGCAGGCATCTATAATTAAGGCTCCAAACATGCTGTAGAGTGGCTGTTTGACCACTGAGGGATTTGCAGAGTCAATTCGAAGCTGTAAAATATTCCTGAGGGCTTAACAAATTTACCAATAAATATATAATTAATACACCATGTTAACAATAAAGACAAATAAAAAGTACTTAAGGGTTCTGCTGTGTATAATTTCAATATTTCCCTTTAAAATCTTATAAAGGAAAGCTTTTTTGTATTATTTAGGGGCGAATTGGGTTTAAATGCCAGCTGGAATGTTGCATTGTGTATTTGTTCAGCTCTGTTTAAATATGAAAATAAATATTTGTATTCCCAAATATGTCCTTCCTTCCTTGTATATTTCCTTGTATATTTCCTTCTGCCCTCACTGTACTTCTTGCTTCTCCATTATTCCCTTCCTCTTTTCCTCCTCTCTTGCATCCATCAAGCCCTCCTTGTGTCCTTTCCTCCCTCCTATGAGCTCACTCATGATCTTACATCTTTCTGTCCATTCATCCTTTGTCTGAACTCCATTTCTACCTTGTGTTTTGATTCCTTTCCTTTTCTGTATCTGCCATTATTATTATCCTTCTGTTCCTCCTCGTTGTTTCATTTGTTTCCGTACTTCCCTTCATCTAATCCTTGCCTTGCTTCTGGGCTTTATCATCCTATCCATCAATTGATGGTCCTTTCTTCCATTTGTTCCTCATGTTTTTCTCTTTTAACCCCCTTTCTTGTGTCCTACCTCTCCTTTTCTTTACTTCATTGTGTCTTTCCACCCATCCTTGCTTATTTGAATAAGTATCAGGCCAACTCTTTTCCCTCTTTATGTTGCTTTCATATGGGATATATGAACGCCGACTGTGGTGGAAAAACTCCAAGCATTGTTAGCCACTGTAGGCAGTGCTCCTCCTAACAAGATATTCTCTGGTATTCTGCACATGCAGCAACATTTCCACAGATAGAAACTACTGTCTATTACAGACTGAAGGCACACAGAGCTGCTATTAAATTGTGTTTTACAGTAGAATTGACCTGGGTTGATGGACAGAGAGGATATCGTGGAAATTGGAGAGACTCAATCTAACAGTTTGTTCAACTCCCCTTGAAAAAAGGCATTTAAGTTTCTGGTGATTTCTTTCTGTGAAGCATCATGTACCTATATGAAGTGAGTGAGTGTTTCTTATTGTGTATTTATTTAGTTTAGAAAATCAGGATAAAATTTGGGCACATTTAACATGAGTGACATATATAAGCCTTTGAAAATTTAAATAATTAAGCATCTTTAGGAAGAACTACTATGCTTAAAATTCAGACACTGAGCTGAATTTTACTTTTTTTGTTGGTTCATCACTCAAAATCCCAGTTTGATAAATGAAGTTTGTGTTTGTGAAGTGAAAAAAAAGTAAAAAAAATAGATGATCTACATCATGTATGTTTTTAAAGATGTCCTGTTCAGAAACAAAAGAAACATCTAACGTTTATGATGTCAAACCTCGATATACATTTCTGCTGACTGAAGCTGGTGGGAATCAGCAGAGCAGATTCTCCTGGTTGTACCAAGCAGCTTTTTAAAGCACCTTGAAGGTCCTTTTCCTGCAGCTGGGCCCAAACCTGCCCTTTCACATGGAGACCTCGCCAACACTTGACATTTTCAAAACCTGTTTGAAAACTCAGTTTTATTCTTTGGCATTTAAACCAGACTACACCATGACATTTGACTTTGGTCTATTTGTTTGCAAAGTGCATCTTTTTAGTTTTTCCTTTTATGAATCAACCCACAGTCTGTTTTATTTTCGCTCATTTGTTTTAAACGGTGCTTGCAAATGAGTTGGCTCTGTCTGTTTGGAAATGATTAACAGCCACTGAAAAAACATTTTAAAATGTATAGTTTAAAAAATAAATAAATAAATATATATATATTTATATATAAAATTAACTACAAAAATGTTTTATTCATTTTCTGTTCAAAAGTAAGTTTCTCTGTGTTTACAACGTATATTTACCTAATCAAACTGATAACTGTCAGTTTTCTGATTGAGTTTATAGCAACCATCTATGAATCAGATCATCCAAAGCCGAATGTCTTAGATGTTTTAGTTCTAACCCTCCCCAGGATCATGGATACTTACCAGACCTCTTCATGAAGTAGTCTCCCCACTGCCGTGACAGAGAAGACTAGAGCTCTCTGTGCAAAGCATTCCGGGAAATATCTGCCTCTTCTGAGGCCTATCTTTTCTTCTCACACACTTTGTAGACACTTTTTCTCTTACGACCCTCATTTTCAAAGAACCGCGGTAAAAAAGGTGAGCTTCATTGACTGTCTGAAACCGTAGCTAACCATACATATACAGCTGAATCTGGGCATGTGCAGAAAAAGTAAGCTAACTGGGGACGGGCACATAGGACAGCCTTAAGTAAACGTATCACCAAAATGATTGACAATTAGGAGGACCACTTATTTAGATGATCCACCCAGAAATAAAAGATCCTCCTCTATACCTTTAATCTCATTGTACAAAGAGTTATCCAGACTCTCCTTGTCAATTATTGGCACTTTTTGGCACAAAGATTGGCCCAAAAATAGTGAGGCTGCAGGCAGGGAGGTGTCTGATTAATTATTAAATTTAATTATTAAAATTATTTAAACCAGCTTTTTTCTATTTCCCCTTTTGACTTTAATCTGGTAACATTTAATGCATTCTATTGTGCTGGAGATTAATCTAACTTAATGTTTCTAACTTTAAGAGGGCTTTAAAGTTGGGAATTTTGAGAGTAAAACTAGTAAAGTCTCACAAACAAAGCTGAAAAAGCAAACATAAATAAAGCTTTTTAGAGCTAATACGCCTCTATAACAAATTAAGCTGAGTCATATCGTGTCCATTTCAAGAGAGTCTTGGGGTAAATGTGGAGCAGGGATATAACAGGGAGAGCTGTTAAATTTTCATTGGGATCCAGATGTCCAAATAAGGACATCTGCGTCTGACTGGGGGGAGCTGTCCTCCCAGGCTTTTAACTTGGATGCTGGTGGTGGGTAACTAACTGTAGGTTTACAGACATTAGCATTCACTCTCAAGTTAGAGAAAGTAACGTTTATTTACTTAGTATTAATAAAAAACACTATAAAGGTCATATTTGGAAAAAGCTCACATGTATGTGTGACACAGATTGTTTGTTATATAAAATAGGACATCAGTTTACAGAGGGTGTGTTTATGGGTCTCTCCTGTGCATATGTTTGGTCACTGGAGGGATGATTGTCTGAAAAGCAGAACAGATCACAGCAAAGCACATTTATTAGAATACATATTAAAATCCTGCATCTACATCAGAGTTTAAACACATTTTATTCTCTTACCCACCTTTCAGTCCCTCCTCCTCAATACTCTCCTGGCTGGTCAGGGAAGTAGCATCATGATGCGTGTCGGCCTCCTTTCCCGCCCCCTCCCACACGATGGTGGTGCTGTTCTGACTGGAGCGAAGCCGCTGGCGGGGAGGCGTCTTGTTGTCGCCGGGACTAAAGGACTGGGAGATCCCAGAGCCCGCTCTGGCTAAACCGATCCCCCAGCCGTGACGGGAGCCCAGCTTTCGTCGGGCCCCAGGGCGGGTAGGGGTTGGAGTCCCTGGAACCGAAGTGTCAGGGTCTGGGTTGGATGTGGTTTTCCTTAAGGGGGACGGTGAAACCGGAGCACTACGTAGGTCTGAAACAAGATAAATAGAAACAAAAGGATAAGCTAAATATTGAAGCTCAATGTTGGAAATACGAGCATGATACAGGATGGTGAATCTTCTATGAAGAACTATATAAGGTTAATTGAAATGTATTGATGCTCGCAGCCAGTGTTGTTTTCGTCAACAATGACTAAATAATTTCGATAACGCTCCTTTTTTTTCATGATAACGAAAACTGGCGTGCTAAACATGGATCTTTGATGACTAAAACAGGACTAGTCATGGGTTTGAGTTTTTATCAATGAGACCAGACTAAATAAAAAATAAAGGGGCGTCGGTCAGACGTTCAGCAAAGCAATATCAGCTGTGCTGCTGTGTCCTGTTTGATCCTGCCCCCGAAATGCTCCTGCAGCGTTGCACATGCTACAGGAGCACAAATGGATCATGGCAGCAGTGGCAGGGTCTGAGAAAATAACAAATTTGCTCTGATATTCCTTCTGTGCTTGTGCAGAAATGCGCCTTTGCACACAGAGCTCTAATTCTGAGCTTCACTCTTCAATCTAATGGTTCGCTCTCAGCAGTATTGCTCTTCCTGCTCTTGCTACTTAATAAACTATGTGGCTGATCATCCTCTGCCAAGCATTAAAAAAAAAAAACCTTTGTCTAACTATCAAGATTTTTTTCCAGCTTCCAGCTCACAAGAGGTGATACTAAACATTCTTTAATTTCTTCCCCCCAAAAAAAGGAGAAAATAAAAAACAATCCACTAGACTTTGTTTCCAAGTTTGAAGACGTTTCGCTTCCCAACTAGGAAGCTTTTTCAATTAAAAAATGTCAGGAATAGCGCTCAGACAAAATATCAGCAGAGTGGTGTATGCAGTTCAATGCAGTGAGGACTGCTCTGATCTTTATATTGGAGAAACCAAAAAACCTCTCCATGGATGCATGGCCCAGCACAGAAGAGCAACGTCCTTGGGACAAGACTCTGAGGTACATCTACACCTTATGGACAAAGGACATTCTTTTGAGGATGTTAACATTTTAGACAAAGAAAATAGGTGGTTCGAGAGGGCATGAAGGAAGCCATCTATGTTAAAAAAGAAAAACCAACTCAGGTTTCAGCTTTCAAAAACCTACAATGCAGTAATTGACTTGATCCCTTCCTGCTATCATCGCAGCTCCAGCCCCTGTACAGGAGAGCGTAGGACCTTACCAATTCAGCCAGGCCAGCGATTCCCTTTAACGTCCCCCCTTTCATAAACTTAGACGGGTATGGGGAATTGCAGGCTAACAAAAGAAGCCAAACGACCCCCATTCCAAGGGGTGGACCCCTTCGTCCGTTTCAATTTTCATGTTTTCAAAACAAAAACAAGGTTTTGATGGGCTACCGCATAAAATCTCAAAGTCAACACTATTCCTGACATTTTGAATTGAAAAAAGCTTCCTGGATGGGAAGAAACATCTCCAAACTTGGAAACAAAGTCCAGTGGATTGTTTTTAATTCTTTTTTTTTTTGGAATGACTATGACCTGGATCACTGAGAAAATATTATGTTTGAAATATATAAAATATTTCATTGAATTCTGTTCATTTTTGGAAAAAGAGCCCAATGAAATGGTACATAGATCTTTAAATATTTCTCTCTAATTGCTCTTGTTTCTATCTATTAAAATAAGATGTAAATGTTTCCTTGTATTATCATTAAAACATTTTCTATGTGTCCTTTAAATATTTCAACATTTTAGTTAGCAGATTCATTCAATTTAGGTCTGGATAGGCATGGCATTACAAGGCAATTATGTAGGTTCTCTCTGTAACTTTTTTTATATCGAAACCCTGTGAATTTAAATCTACTTTGACCCCTGAGCAGCGGTAACCAAAGTAGAAAGAAGAAAGTTTTTTTATTTGCTTTTTTGGAGCAATGAAGATTTTATTTATCTGTGTGTAAAGCATAATTCATAGTAGGTCAGGAGGTGTTTGCTTTACGATGAAAACCTTGTATGTCTAAAACCATTTCTTTATAGTACATTTTGTTAGATTGTCCGTCTGCTGTAATAACCAATATGATGTGTTGAACTAGATCTGCTTTTATTTGAATTTTCACAACTTTTGTGAGACATTTTTTTTATAAAGTAGAGCATTAATTCATAAAAAATTGATTTGAATTCTATAAATCAAGGTTTTCTGCCCAACAGCAATGATGAACTGCATAGCAGAGTTCTATACCCAGCTATTGTAGTATCTAGGCTAGAGCTGTCAGTCTGGTAAAGAATCTGGTTGTTATTAAAAATTGTAAAGGTTACCGTAACTTTTTTTTGCAACATAAAACTGACTAAAACTTGTCTAAACCTTCAGGGACGCCTTCCAGCAAAGTTATCTGCCCTGTAAACTTACATTTTTTACTTCTCACCACCGTCTGTGTTGTGATTCTACAAAGATGGCTCTCTTTTTTTAATAGAATATCCTAATAAACTGTTAAAGCAGCTCTAGTTTATCTATGGCAACATTTTAGCTGGAAAGCACAAAATAATGAGCTGCAGTGCAAAGCCTCAGAGTATTAGTATTACCTGTTGGCTCAGGCTACAAGTTAACCATTACACTGAAGAAAACTCTACTTTCTCACTTTTAAATCAACAAGTTTCTTTTTCAATGTGATAGAAATTTGATTTATGAGCAAATTAAGATTATTAACATTTTTTAAAACTCACAAAAACCTTTTCGTTAACTGAAATAAAAACAAAAACTATAGCAAAAAAAGAAACCGAAAACTAACAAACAGTAATAGGAGTTCACAAACTGAAATAGAAAGTAATTGAATTTTCAGAGAGAATCTGTTTCGCTTCCTTTGTGTCCTTATCCTATTGCATTAATATGAGTCTAGTTTCTGGTTGCTGTTTTTGCTTTTTTTCTCTGTACCGCATAACGTCAGCAGATGATACAGCAGTCCGGTTATAAGCTGCAACAGTTTATCTTTATCTGGGATTGTATTTCTTTTATTTTGCTTTTGTTTTGTTTTTTTGGTCTTGCATGTAAGTTTTATTACATAAAAGACTAAAATTATAACTGAAACAAACAAAAACTTAACTGAAAGCATTATCAAAAACTAAAAAGTAAAGTACCTAAGAAACAATAAAAACAAATTCAAACTAAAATAGAATTGAAAGTAATAAGTCAAAACAAAATAAATAAACTAAATAATGACTATTTCAAAACCAATTAAAGCTTAGAGCAAATGCTAACTAGCAAATAAGTGAAACAGTAGACTGTTCTAGTATCTTTTAGTAATTAAATAAGAAGTTATACTTATGAAAAAATGGATCATAAGATATTCCAAAAGCGAGGCACAGCAGTAAAAAAGCTATGTTTAACACTAGGTGTCAAATCTTGACTTAAAACAAGTTTGCCTCATATTACCAGTGGTAGTAAAGCAAATGCACACTAAATCAGACTTTAGATCGTAAAATCGGCAGGGATAGAACCATTAATGAAACTGCATCCCAGCAGTGTGCTTTTCAGTGGACACTGCAGTGAGATTTGCTCTTCACTGTTTATAGCTCCGATCCTAATCACTGGGATAAAAAACATCTGATTACTGAGGCTTTTTTGCTGCAAACTTGTCTGTGTGGTGGCCTTTTAAGACTTGGATTTCTATACTTTTTTTCCTGCACATTACCAGCTCTAACGCTGCTGAAATAGCAACATTTACGACAATAAACTCAAGAAGTGAAACAGCAGCAGCTTTTTTTTCTCTTGGCCTACATGCTGAGCTGGAGATCTTTCCAATAAATTCCAACCTCACATGACGCTGGGGTTTACTTTCTTTTCATCTTATACAGAACAGATTTTAAAATAGCTGCTATACTCATGACACCCAACTAAGGAAAAAAACTGTTGATTAAACATGATTATAATGACTATTTAAAGATGAGAATGATTCCTAGACAATAGAATGCAAATGCATTCAAAGAAAAGGCCGAACAAAGCATGCTTAGATATGAGAATAGGACTGTGTTGCATGTTAAGTAGTAACTTCCGGTTTTCAGGATGGATTTTAAGTCTAAAAATAAAAAAAGAAGGAGGGATATTTGTTGGATTATCCACCTGTAAAATGTTATTCCTCCATATTTGTCTTGTGTCAAGTCCTTATCTTCACTCAATAAAAACAACCGGAGCATGTAGAGGCTTTTTGGAGCCGACAAACTAAATTTCACGTGAAAGCAACTTTATTAGATGATAAATATAAACAGACAAAAATGCTGGTGAAATTTTATATGACAGCTTAGAAAATGTCTGCCTGATTTTTTTATGTCAGTAAATTCATCAAAAGCAAATAAAACCTCACAAATCATTTTCTTTCAGCGCGGGGTTTGCAGGAACAGAGTGGCTTCAGTGAGCCCAGCCTCTTTACAAGCACAGATCTGAGGAGATGAGAGCGTTATCAATGCAGACCACACTCAGTAGTCATGAGATGATTTGTATGCATCCCTGCACCCTCCCTTCATGGCCTGAGTGCATCTTTGTGAAAACCAGTCAGCAGACGCTTCTGTATTAGTTAGTCTGAAAAACACCGGTTGTGTGCTGATCTGTGTTTGTGTGGGTGAGTTCTCACCAGGCTTTGGTGTTTGTGTGTCTGATGAAAATTCATTGCTGTCGGCCAGGTTTTCTATGCTGCCTGCAGCAGTGAAGAGGGTGCGCCCCTCTCTTCCTCCTCCCCGAGGCTTGATTAGTTTCTTCATCCTGTCTGCGATCCAGTTAGACTTTCTGTGAGGACACAGGGGACAGGCACCTTTTACAAAGAGGGTCAAGCATTTCAGTGCACAGTGATTCACAGTATGTACACAAGCTGGTGTTCCTGAAACTGGTCGGATGCCAACTGTTAGGAAGAGGTGGCTGAGAAGAGCCTCAGTGGAGGTGCATTTTCAGCATCATTAGCTGATGTGTTTCTCTATTTTGGCCTGATTACACCAAAAAAAAAATGATGCAGGTGTCACACAGCTGAAGAGAATCTTTCATGCAAATTAATTTTTTTCTAAAATATAAAACATCAACACAAACCACAACATGTTTGGTCTGCATTTTGTGTGACAGAAAAACAGAAATGAGCAGGGACACATCTGTTAGGTGGATAGGATAGGAAACAGTTTCACATTTTTTTTTTGCAATAAATGACTGAACTAGGCCATTAACTTGTATTCTTTACCACTGAGTCAATGTAGAAACATTTTGAAGTATGTCTCCATCAGCTTTGCACATGTGCAAATAGGCATTTTTGCCAACTCTTTTCTAAAATGCTCTGAAGGAATGATGGGGGTCAAACAAAACTAAAAACATAGTTTATGCTTGTTGTACAATTGCATATTATAAACAATACCAGAACTCTTACTTTTGCCAACATAGTCAATGAAGAGCAGAAAGCAGCATGATGGTTATTTTATAACGTTCAAGTGCGTCTTTAAAAGATCAAGACAAAGCAGTGACTAAGTAGACCAAAGGTTACACATGGGTGACAATTATTCATACCTTCAGAAGCGATTTGACCCATTAACTGATCCCAAATCTAAAATTATAAGCTTCTTACTAATGAGAAACAGCCATGAAATTATGTACTTTTTGCAAATTTCAGAATGAGTTCAGTATAAAAATATTAATCATTAAAACATGTCAAAAAAATGACATTTCCTTGCTAAGAAAAGATTTAAAATTTTAGAACATAACTCAGTGGGAGCTGGATTATGATGAATTATTAGTCTAAATACAAAACAGATGAGGAACAGAGTAATCCTATAGAAATATACATTTCTGTAAGGTAATGTGTTTAATCTCCATCCTGATCTTGGCTGTGTTTGGTTTAGATGTTCTGCTCCAGCTGATATCATGATAACTGATGATATCTTTAAAAAAAACTTATTTTAACTTGATGACACTGAAGAGATCTCCAGCAGGAGTTATTTAAATAAGGTTCGGGCAAACATCAAAAACAAGCAGAGCTGTTAGTGAAGAGCACGACTCGGGAACATTGATAGATACATGCAATAAGCACAAACTTATTTGCAGACACCTCTGCTCCAAGGCTCTTTTGAATGTAGCAGCCACAGCCTCGTATCCCTGTCCTGAATCTTCCCCCTAAGAAGGATGTTCTGACCTTTAAGTGTCAGTTTAAACATACTGAGGTCTCTAATGTAAATGATCTTATTTTGTCCATTTAGCATGCTGTTAACCTTAGGTATTGATTAATGTGTTTTATGTTAAAGTATGTTTCTGTTTTTATTTAACAGAATGATTAAATGTTTTAAACCTTGAATGTGAAACACCTTCAACCTGCAGATAACTTTCATCTACTCTGATATTTTCAGCACTTTTCTAGGTTTGACGATTATGGTCATTCTTTTTCAACATGCTGACCCTTGTAACGTGGCCATGTGTTTGGCCGTGTGGCTGCCTGATTGGATGATCAGCACCTCTTGGTGACTATTTATTCAGAACCAACCAAAGCTAAGTTCTGACACTCATACAGAGAGACATAACCAGCAACAACCCTTTCCTCTTAGATTTGGCTGAGATAAACATGTTATTTGTGCTGCATACTTTACTACATCTTTTAAAAAGAGTTTTTCCTTCATGTCCTTTATATCAGCTGGATCTAAATGCACTGTGAGTCACAACCTGGACATCCAATTACTGAGCAAGAAACATCAGCCTTGCAATCAGGGAGACTTTTCAGCTTAAAAAGCATATCTTTTGACAAAATGTCCCCATCAGCAGAGCTCAAAGCTAGCTGAGGAGGTCCATTCAAAGTGGACAAAGTGCCTGAATTGTAGACCTCAGTAAAATTATGGATCTTTTCTGAGCACAGACCTAAAGGCAGGTACTCCAGCTTCCTCCCACAGTCTAAAAACATGACTGTTAGGTTAATTGGCTTCTCTAAAGTCTCCTTAGGTGTGAGTGTGTGCATGAATGGTTGTTTTTTAGGGCTGCAAATAAGGGTTATTTTGCAAATCGATTAATCTGTCGATTATTTTTTTCGATTAATTCATTAATAATCGGATAGCCAAAGGTTCCTTAAAGAAATTTTCTATTGAATCAAACCAGGTGAAACTAAAACTTTGCCACTTGAGGAGTTCTGCTTAGAGCATATTGACAGATGAAAATATGTTATTAATCGTGAATCTAAAATTTGTATGTACCTTTTTACAATTGTGGTATAATAACAGCTCTAAGTGGGTTGCTCTGACAGCTAAAAACATGTTTTAGAGTCTGTATACTCCAGTTAACGATTAAATTAATTACTAAATTAGTCGGTGATTATTTCAAGGATGGATGGATGGATGGATGGATGGATGGATGGATGGATGGATGGATGGATGGATGGATGGATGGATGGATGGATGGATGGATGGATTATATTTCATTATTGTTTTTTAGCAATAATGAAATATAATTCTTCATTACATTAACTATTAGTCCCTAGTGGGGTGTTTAGTGTTGCTGTTTGTTTGGAGCTGCAAAACAAATAGAAACACATGCATTTACTACGTAATATGATCATATCTGTAAATACTTTTTCAAGGTAAAAAATTGACAAACCTCATTGCTTAGTTCAATGAGAAATTAGAGTGTTTATCCTTCCACAATTGGAAACTTGGAAACAAAGTCTAGTGGATTGTTTGTAATTCCCTTTTATTTTTTTTTTCTTTGGGTAGAAATTAAAGAATGCCTAGTATCACCTCTTGTGAGCTGGAAGCTGGAATAAAACCTTGATAGTTAGACAAATTCAGTGATCATAAACTAAATAATCTATCCTGCATTGCTATAAAAAGAATCATCTCGTATTTCTGTCATCAGTTTTCACTTTAGTTATGCCTAGAAGCTCCTGAAGAACATTCAATTATCTTATAATGAAATATCTTTGTTGTCATCTTGTGAAAGCACAAGAAAAATTATTTATGTGAACACATCCGTTCTCAGCTTATGGTATAATATACATTTCTATTTTCATTATGTTAGGGAAAATTACTAAACAAAAAAAAATACTATTGATTGGAACAATTTCCATAACTGACATTTTTTCATCTAAAACAATGCACAACTTCTTTAAACTTAGATAAGTTTACTAAGCTTCTAACTCTTAGTTCTGATCTTTCACACTTTATATAAATTGAAAATTCTAGTTTCTTAAACTAAACAAAAAAAATAAACAACATTTAGCGGTTTTGTATTTCTCCCCTCCTCTACTTGATAAAAACAAACAGATGTCTCAGTAATTACAAAAAAAAAAAAAACTCATTTATTTTAGGGTTTTATAGTTTTGTTTGGAAAACAAAGTGCTGTTTTTCAGGTAAGTACTGAACCCTGTGGAGTCTCAATATAATTAAATCATAAAAAGTTATCCAGATTACAGCAGCACATATATATTATATAACCAACTAAGCATTATTACATACACTTTTAAGAAATTATGAAAACTAAAGAATTATCTTTGTACTGGTAGAAAAGTCTGTGCTGAATCCATCTCTCTGAAAATATTAGTTTAACATTCTTTCTCTTTCCTATTTGAAATGTTTTCCTCCATCAACTTCTAATCCCCATTGCAACAAATATTATTCTACAATTATAATACTGCACCCAATAGAACCCATATTAGCACTTATTTTATGCATGTTTAAAACACAATAATGGTATCATTCATCATCACCCAGCTGTAACCAACCGTAGATTTTGTAAAATGATGGGATATATATGTAATTATGTGCATACTTGGCCTTGCTGGCTGGAGGTTGCATGTTGGGCTCGAGGACTCTGTACTGATCCATAATCTTCTCCACCAACTTCTGCTTCTCCCGACGGAGCTCACTTAGCTTCTCCCTGAAGGCAAATGTATGAATCATTAGATGAAAAGGAATGAATAACAGATTTAGTTTTTCATGCAGACATAATCAGTTTATATTATGCTGGTTCAGTGTATGCAATGTGTTTAGTGTTTTTTTAAACCCTAGTTCTTTAAAAACAGTCTGTTGTGATGTTCAAGCCATAATCTTTTTACAACATTTACAACAGAGAAGATTAAATGAAAAGTGATGTTGGTTGAATGGAGATTAGAGTCACTGCTCAAACCCTCCCCACAACAACAACAACAAAAAAAATCAGTGTCAGACATTTTGAGGTAACAGAACATTTCATTCTAACAAAGTGGTGAAGAGAGAATGAAATAAGTCAACAGCTGCTGCACAGATTGTCATTCATTTTGATGGAATAATGATTGATCAATACAAAGAAGAATGTGATTTAGGATGTGACAATGCTGCTGCAGAATAATGTATGCCATAATAATATAGCAGAGAGCTTCATTGTGATTTATAACTTTGTTTACAGTACAAATATGTGGTTAGTATAATTGTTTTCTTTCATTTTCAAATCTGTTTTTCTGGTGATATAGAAGTTCCAAAACGATATCTATTCCCTAAAACAACTAATTGGTACCTAATACTTTCCTGTTGTTTCTGTTTTAATTGAAAACAAATCATGAAATATTTTTCCATTATCTTGATGTTGGTTATGTGTAAAATAACATATGCTAAAATCAGATAACAGCTAAAACAAACCAAAATAAACTAACATGAACTAAGCAAAATAAACTTTACTACACCAAATGGAGAAAGACAAACTAAGATAAGGTGAACTAAGAGTAATCTAAAATAAACTTCATCATCCTAGACGTCCAAAGGAACGTTATTGGAGATTCTTCCTCTCAGCAGCTGTTAATACTTTATAACTATCATTAGTCCCAATAAGTTAGAAAGAGAATTATATCCCTGCTGTTTCTGAACAGTTTTTCCTTATTCTTCTTCATAGTCTTGTAATAAATACTCTGAATTGAAATTTTGCATGAAATGAAAATTTTGCACATTCATTAAAATAACCTATATTGCACGTTTTTAAACAGACTATGACTGTGTCCGAATGTCCCCCTTTATCACTATATTGGGCACTATATAGTGGCTATGCCATTTTAAATGAGTGTCCGAATGTCTAGTGGATGAAAAAGTAGTGGACTCGAAATTTCCAACAATGCACCTTGAAAAGTAGTGATCGTCCATAGTCACTAGACCAGTAGATATATCCCATAATGCTTTGTGAGGAGAGCTCTCCTTGCAAAGCATTATGGGAGTTGTCACAGTGTTCCACTGTCACCATAGGCTGTCTAGGCTACCTGACATTTAATCTACCAAAAATGGGGCAGGCATCGTGTGGGGAGGCGGAGTCACGTGACCAACAGGGAGCGAAAAGTAGTGATCACCTGTCCAAACGGTCAGTTAACTGAATTCACTATAAAGTCCACTTTATAGTCTCCGCTCTATATAGTGATTGAGGGATTTAGGAATTAGGGCGGAGGTTCGAACAAAGCGTAAACAATTATTAAAAACTATATTTTTCTTATGTTGTAAATTTGCCCTTTCTGTCCAGCCTCTTATTCTAATTTTCTCTATTTCTTCCATTTTGCCATTGGTGGTTTTTCACCTGATTTTCTTCATTGTGGTGCAATACAAAACATTTCTGTCATATTTTAAGCTTCATTAAGTAAGCTTACCCAAACAGAACTGATATTTATCATATCAGCGATGTATACGACACGATGTTGAAATGCCAGTTTTCCTGATGTTAAAAATTGTGTAAAATAAATATTCTATATGTACAAGTGTGTCTGTGTACAGTTGTGTATCCTGGATGTCTCGACCATCCTCCAACTCCAGTGATAGTTATTCACAGTGTTAAGATTAATAATAAGGATGGAGAGAAGGCAGCTCACCTGATCAAAATGTTATATATTCTATTTTTATTTTCATTTTAGGGAGGGTTTTCTCCACACAAAGAGATAAGACATTAAGCCTATTGTTGCAGCATCTTGTGGGAAATCTAATCTTCTCAAGGTGAATTCTTTTTTGCTTTTCACAGCTGACATTGATGATTGTTTTGCCATCCTGCTACACATGCAGGGCTTCAGGAGTAAAGAGGAGATGGGGACTTGAGTCAATTCCAGCTGTCACTGAGCGTGAGGAGAGGTATAACCTGGAAAGGTCGTTAGTCCTTCACAGACATCGAGACTATAAATCATGCACGCTCCCACTCATTTTCAAGGTCAATTTGAAATCACTAATATCCTAATATGCATGTTTTTTGCCTGCAGGAGTAGAGCCATGAATGCAACAGAAAGGCTTGCACAGCTAACATTAAAGATTCTAAATTCTCTAGCTGTAAGACAAGTGCAAACAAAATAAAAGAAAATATGACTTAATAGTCAGCCGCTGTTCCACTCTTGAATGTCTGCCAAATTGTCACTGCAGTGTTAGTTTGAATAAGATTATTTATCTTAATGATCTATCCAGCAGTTTGCTCAGTTTAGGACAGAGAGCTTTTTAAACAGACTGGACTACGAGAACAAAGACCTGGGTTTAAATAAACTCCTCGGTAAATCCACAAAGCACTTTCTGGTTAAAGCCCAGTCAAATAATTCAAGCGAGAGAAGACTGATCAGAGGATCTGGAAAGGTCTTAGTAGTGGACACCCAAACATCACAATGTATTTAAACTCTCAAATAAATAGCATCTTTTAGTACTCAAAAGCCTTTTTACATTTTGTCAGATTTGATCCAAACTTGTATGTTCTGAACAAGGCCTGGTATTGGAGAGGTAGACCTGCATGACCTTTTAAACAGGAGAAGCTTATTGCACATGAGTCTGATGTTGGAAAAAAAAACTTATCAGACTGTAAAATTCTGAACAGACACAATTATATATGAGTAATAAAAAATCTACACATACAGAAATCATAATCTATCGATGAATTATAGGTATAAATAATGATTAAAATGGGTCATAAAGGTATAAGGCTTCATGCCACAGTGAGTCAATCAGATATACTAAATGAAACATCTATATATAATAAGATGATGTAGCCGAAACAGGACCAATTTTCTGCATTAGCTGTTATGCAAAGATGTGGCGCTTATTGATTTTTCTTTTGTTTGTTTGTTTTTCTCCTTTTTTTTGGGTGGGGGGGAAAGTTCTTTAATCACCACTTAATGGTTCCTGTCAGCTCTTCGTGGCGTGAATTCCCCCTCATAATCAATTAATTGAGCAAAATAATTCAGTCAATCTATGCATAATTCTGAGACAATCACAGCCACCAAAAAGTGCAATGCTCCCTGAATGTCCTTGTTAATATGATCAGTGTTTACATCAGACTCTGAAGGTGTCATCAGTAATACTTCCTTGTACGTACAGCTGATCTATAAAGGTGTGTGAGCAGTTTTTGTGATTCAGGAGTGGCTTACACCATTTTCTAGTTTTTGGGTGTAGCTAAACTTTTAGCATGGATCCAGTATTAAGAAGACCCCAGGGCTTTGAATGGCCAGTTCCTACACATGCCTATACTTTAATGTAAGCTATTCTATTGATGCTCTGGTTGTATATATGGGATGTTTTACTCCTAAAAGGTAAAATTCTGTACCAGGTTTTTGTTTTTTCCAGTCTCTGTCCCAGATTTTTGACCCATCTAGAAAAATGTCTCCCAACAGCATGACACTGCCACCACTATGTATTACCATGGAGACACGGAGTTCCGGCTGAGGCAACGTGTTAGTTTCCAACTATGGAAAGGCACATGTATAGAATGCTGCCTACAGGGCTTGTAAAATAGAATTCTCACTGTGAGAAGCTCATAGTTTGGAAATCGTATTGTTTTACAACCAGGTATCATTGTATAACCTTAATCTGGAACATTGTTGGAGCAAAATGCTTACTCTGCTCTCCAACACTATGTTACAGCCCCTCTGCAAAGACACTGCACAGGAGTTTCAACACATCACGGGGACCTGTCATGCCCTCTCACCACCTCCTGTGCTTAGCATAAACCCCAACACACATTCTTTTTCCTGGTGACCTAAAGACTGAAGGCTACATCGGAGGGAACCATCTAAATGAGCAGGTCTGGAGCCAGAGATAACATGGCTGAATAGACTTAATTCTTCAACCCATACAAAATGTACAATTTTAACAGTGTTTCCATCATATGACCTTTAAGTTAAGTGTCCATTCCCAGAACCATTTTACTGCTAAATTGACTGACTGTAACATTTCTTTACAGTGGTGACTTGCGGGCATGGAGGTGGCGCAATAGTTAGTGGCACGACCCATGTACAGAGGCCTGAGTCCTTAATGCAGCCGGCCCGGGTTTGAATCCGGCCTGTGATCCTTGGCCGAATGTCTCTCCCTCTCTCAGACCCCCTTTACTGTCAGCCTACTGTCAGAAAAATTAGCCACTAATGCCATAAAAACAACAAAAAAACAGTAGTGACTTGGAGTTACAGAACTGACTAACCATGAAGTATCTGAAAACACAAAACAAGCCTTCTAACTGGGTCATTCAGCTGACAACTGGAACTTTCCTGAAATTTGCAGATGCCTCAACTTTTAAAAACTAAAATCGGAAGAGGTTACAGGTGTGACAAATTTGGGGAAAATGTTTCCCATTGAATATTTGTTTTTTTTTAATCATGCACTTTAAGATAACTACATCTCAAACTGTACGAGAAAACCACAGGGTTTAAAAGTTCACTGTTCATGATGGAACTTCTTACACTGTACGGCCAGACGCTCTGATACGATCTACCTGCACTGCACGTCCAAAAAAACCACACTTCAGACTCAGCGCCAAGAGATGGCGCTGGTCGGACTCGTCAACTTGGAAGAAAAAAAACTGACTTGTTTGCGCATGTGCAGTGAGCAAGGTTCAGGTGAATCGGCTGGTAGACGCTTGTAACTCTGCTTCAACAGCAGAATTTGTTCATGAACACCTTATGAGGACCGGCTGAATTTCCAACACGTTTGATTTTCTCAGAACCTTATGGTTCCTAAATAGGTGGTCATGAGGCAAATTGCCCCTTGTTATCCCCTGTATACTACATGACGCAAGATGCAAGTTGAGTCTAAAACTCGACCCGATCGAAAAAATCTCAGCAAAAGGCAAAATATCGTACAGTGTATGGCTAGCCTAAAGCAAATCAACGGAAGCTATTAATGACCATATGGTAGCTAACCCAAAGCTATTATTTTCGCGGTTGTTTATAGAGTTTAAAAAAACTTTATTTCAAAAAAGGTTTTAAACACATTGTATTTGATTTCTAAAAGATGATCAGAGTCCTTTAAAACTAGTCCCTTTGTGTTTACTAGCTAGTAGCTTCATTTTCTTAATAAAACAAACTTAGCTTACAAAGCTAACAAAGCCCTACCCTAATTATTCCCTCAAGAAAATATGACAGAAGGTTAAGAATTATTTATCTAAATGGTAACTGATTTCTGGTTACCTTATAAAATATTATTTCACAAAATAATGTTTTTTTATTTTACGGTACCTCTTGGATTTGCAATGTGAATTGAACAAATTTCAATTGGTCTCAATTTGTTTTAAACGCATTTTTAAAATCAACCAAAACCCTTTGAGATAATCAAATGCTTGGCCATCGTTTGAGCTCAATTCACAAGTTCATTTGTTATCCCACACAGCCAGTTTGGTTTGTTTTTACAGAACCATATATGAGAGTCCAACATTATTTGATTAATAACATGACAATTAAAACAGCATTTAATTGCATAACACTGCTTTCACCTTCTCTAAAACTTTCTCCCTGTCTGCTGTGTTTCTTTGCCTTTGTGGTGCTTCAAGTTTAATCACTTACAAAATCTCTTCCAAATCTTTAAGACCTTTACAGAACAGCTGGAATTATACTGAAGCTGAATTACAAACAAGTGAACTCCATCAAACAACTTAATTACTAATAAAAGCAATAGGTTGCACTAGAATTTTTTGGGGAGGGTGTTGGTGTAAGAGGGACGAGGGTGAAAAGAAATGGATGCATTTCCTCATCTGGTTACGTCTGACTGCTGTAATAATTTTTTTGACTACAAAACCTGACATAATATTATTATTATTATTACCACTAGTGTGGTATTCCCTCTACTTAAAAGGAGCCTTCAAGTGATACACACAGTAATAAACCGTTCCTTGTTTCCACAGCATATAACATCTCAAACACTCATTAAACATCATGTGTGTTCCCACCTAATTAAATCCAATATCGATCTTCCTTTTAGCCGTTTCAGTCCCCAGCTGACTAGTTGGGAAAATATTTCAGTGGCTAAATACTGCTCGGCAACAAGTCACTTTTTATTTCCCCTGGGCCCTTATGTTTCTTTTAAATGTCCCTGACCTGCCGTTCTCCATCAGCTAGATCATCACAGACTTCCTAATTGGCCCTGTACACTTGACTGCAACATCCGTTGGCTCCTTGTTGAGCAATTACCTCCCACAACATCTAAATCTGTTTCCACCTGCGTCTGTAGACCAGCTTGTTGCTATGTTTCTGTTAAAACGATCTATACCTGATTTTCTATTTTCAGGGACCTGCTTTTTTCCCACCTGCTTTTAGCTGATAGCCTCACATGCCTGTGCTGTTAAAGAAAGCCTTATAAACAGAAATTGATTGCATGCGTCTTCAAGGCTTGAAAACAGACACAGGTATGTTAAAAATATCAAATCCTGCAGAACTTCCAACAGTGGGTGCAAATGGTGAAGAAGCAATGAAGATAAACAGGAACCTTCAAGTATTGTGACAATCCTCAGCAATGACAATGGATTCCTTCGAGAGTAAAAGCAGAAAATGACGGTACAACAAGGTAGATTTCCCCAAAATTAGGTTAATTAGATTGTAATTGTTAAATCAGCCTTGCATACACTATATAAACGCTGAATTAATCTGGGAGACAGTCAAAAGGTCAACTGCTGAGAACTGTGAAATCACAGTTTTACAGTCTCAAACCTTTTGCATGATTGTTAAGATTCACACACTGCTGAAAGCGTTTCATTTACATGCAATCCTTTAAAGGCACTTTCATTTTAAAAGTGTTTAAAATCCTTTAAAACCTAATTTGTTTTATTCATACCAATATCCCTCATAAGTTTTTTACCTAATAAACAAATAGCTGGGCTTTGTGTGCACTTACTGGTACTCCTGCTGCTGCGAGTAGTGCTGGTCACGCCGCTCCAGGCTCTGCTCCAGTAAGGCCCGGTTCTCCTTTAACAGACTTTGGTTTTGTTCGGCTAAGTGTCGGTTCTCCTCTTCCATGTTCCCTTTCAGTTGTGTTAACAGCTACACAAACAAAAATAAACAACTTTTTAATCAAATGTTACATTTTTTGCAATTGTCCTTAATGCTATATCTTTCTTTAAAGATAATATGATTATAAATCTGTAAAGCCTTTCATGCAAAGTGGAGGCAGTGTAATGCTTTGGTATTTTTTATTACTGAATGCAAAGGAGGAAAGAAGAGGATTCTTTCCAGGTTTATTACACACAGAAAACTGTGCTCAACAGTTGAATCTTAGATGCAGTTGGGAACCTGATCCCAAACATATTTTAAAAGTGGTTTTGGAGAGAATGACGGAATCTGACACCATCATCTTGGAAAGGTATTTACAGAATCCTGCCCTTACTCTTTTTAAAAATATATAAAATTAGCTCAAAGGGATAGTTCGGTATTTTTGACATGAATCTGTATGGCATCCCCATCACCAGTGTCATGCAATCACACTGACTTACCCCTGGCAGCGTCCTGTGAGCAGAGTTCTCGTCCAGTTTTGGTCAAGCCGAAAGTAGTCCGGCAGGTTTGCTAGACCCAGCGAAATAAAACGTTTCTCTTCCCAAAACATTATGTGTTCAAAAGAGTGATATTTTTGCATCCCAAAAACGTTGTAGTGGAAAAAGTCACACGTCGTTATCACTTGGTCCTATTTTCTCTCTGTTCGTATCAGTGCGCGCCGTCTGGCTGTTGTTGAGCTCGCTGTCTGAATGACGGCGCGCACTGATACGAACAGAGAGAAAATAGGACCAAGTGATAACGACGTGTGACTTTTTCCACTACAACGTTTTTGGGATGCAAAAATATCACTCTTTTGAACACATAATGTTTTGGGAAGAGAAACGTTTTATTTCGCTGGGTCTAGCAAACCTGCCGGACTACTTTCGGCTTGACCAAAACTGGACGAGAACTCTGCTCACAGGACGCTGCCAGGGGTAAGTCAGTGTGATTGCATGCCACTGGTGATGGGGATGCCATAAAGATTCATGTTAAAAATCCCGAACTATCCCTTTAAAGACCATATCGATGTGATTAAACCACTTATTTACCAGAAACTCAACAATTCTTTCAACTAATGTTCAACTAATTTGCCAACTGTACCTTTAATTCTCATTAAATTAGAAGTGCTTGGAAAACTTCAGATTAAAACTTCAAACCTGACAAGCAAGCGACCAGAGGACTTCAAAACTGACTGATATTTAAACAACATGAAGCAGAACAATTTACATCCCCACACCCTAAAATTTGTTTTGTCCTATTTAATTTTATTTACAAGGTAAAAAAGAAAAGAGAACACAAACAGATGACTACACTACTATTAACTTCATCATTTTAAGCTGACCTTTAAAGGTTTAAAATACATCTCTTTGCAGGATGAAGGTAAACATGAACAGAAAATCAATTCTAATTTGGACTTTTCCATTTTGTTTCCAATTATTACGTCCTGTCAAAATTAGCCCCATCAGAGAGAAGTTTTGCAGCAATGGATTAATCACTGTTGCACGCACACATTGCATTATGAGAGGAAAGAATCTAAATGACCATATGCACCTAATATAACTGTGCAGAAAAGAATAAATCACTTTGAGAGAAAATGTGATAATCTTAGGGAAAGAAACTCTTAATAAGTAATATGAGAAAAAAGCTACAAGAAGAGCTGTTTTCACATTATTAATTTAACTTTTAAACTGACAGTTCATGAGGTAAGAGCATATTTGCTAATAAATGTTAAATTAAATGGTTGAAGCATGGTTATTTATATAAAACCAGTTAGAGCTTGGTACTCATGAGCTTAACTCTTAACTCTTTAGACAGTGGTTCCATAATAAATAAATTTACATTACTTTTATTAAAGTATGTGGCACTATATCTGCACTAAATTAAGCTACCTATGTTGTGCCACCAAACTATGTCACAGGTATTTGACATTGAATTTTAGAAAAAAAATGCACATGCACACCATAATCCGCTTCCGAGAGGGAACGTCCATTAAACCTGTGTGAGAGTGTGCACGAGCCCATTTCTCCTCCTGCACTGTTTAAAAGTTGCTGTTTGCATCGCTCATGCAAAGTTACTTTCCAGAATAAGATTTGCAATTTTTCCACTACAGTATGTCAGACTCACCACTGACCTTACATAAACATATCACCAATTAGGGGGACCACTTATTTTGATAATCCACCCAGAAAAAGTACATCCTCCACTATACCTTTAAGCTAACTTCACTCCTATCTGGGTTTCAAAGATAAAATGTATTGCATTCATCCAAAATGTGAATTTTGTCATTCTTTAAGCACTGTAATAAAAATTCCTCCCTTTGCTTGTAACTTACTTCAATGCATGTTACTTGCATGTTACTTCAATTTAAAATGTCACTTTTTAAGTATACAACCACTGTAGTTTGAATAGTCTGCTTTCTTTGTGTGGTTTGAATGTAATATTATATAATAACTAACTTTTTTTCTGGGAAACACAACAAATAGAATTTAATTGTTAAAAATACCAAAACCTCTTATAAAAAAACGGGAGAAACATTTTTGATTCATTACATGGTCTACATTTTAACGCTCAGCTCCAGCATTTTACATTTAATATAAATTATTTCCTTTGAGAATATTTTTTTAGCCCTTGACAATTGTCAGTTTCAGAATGCGGCCAATTAGGAAAATTATTTACCCAGTCATTAGACAGATGATTAGGCTATTATCAGCAATATGTGACCTAATGTGTTTAAATCCACGTTTCACCAAGTCTAAAGAGTAAATATGTGAAGTCTGAATATCTCAGATTACAGTCAGAGCAGGAAGTAAAGCAGAAAAATCATCCAAAGACAAAATGCTTACTCAGGAATCAGAGGGACCTCAACAATCATCCACTCTGGTTTAAAGGTGTTTGTTATCCCTTTGTCAGTTTGTATCTCATTAAATCAAGTAGACACAGTACATTAAAGCCTCTGTTATACTTTATGTGCTCTTTGAATGCATGACAATCTCTGAGAAATACTTTCTAGTTGTTTTGTATTGATAACTCCTCAGCAAAGAAAGCATTGCATGTTCTGAATTGCTTAATTTGCATAATTAACATGAAATTCAATGGATGCTATAGGTGAGAGAAATAACATCACAAAGACAAGGTAGGGAATTATCCTCTCAATATGTTTGAAAATACAGATTCACTTTTTCTTGTAATTCTCTTGCTTAGTATTAACTTTTAAGCTTAAGGTGGAAATAGCAACACTGTAAACAGCTGATTAGTGCATATGAGATTCATATCCACACTGGAAACAGATGAGAGAGAGCATTCTTCCTCTGCCTGCCCTGCACTTGGAAGTGTTCTGAGACATAGTGTAGAAGCGGCTCTCTGTAACATTGAGAAAGGCAAGGATGATACCTGCTTTGAGTCAAACAATACTTAATACCCACAAAGTTACAAAAGGGGTCAAAATAATGCTTGCTAACTGTAACAAAATAATAGAAAAATGCTAGTATTAATAATAATGACTCAGAATACTGTAGGTATTCTTCAAAAGTTAATTTGTATTTTTAAAGCTATGATGTATTGGATGTGGAAGTGATGCGACTCCATCACGGCTTCTCCCAGACGTCCCAATAGCTTTGAGAAATAACAATAGTGACATTGGCATTGGCATGAATCATACATACTTTTGTTACCTATTTTGCACTGTAGAATGTTAGAAAAGGCTTAAACAGAAAACCATAGTCAACAATAAAAGGTATAAGAACAGTTGACCCATGTAATATTTGTCAATAAGCTAGAGTGGTTTTATCAGAATGAAAATGTCAGAGATTTTAGATGCTGGTCAATATACCCAATATTAGTTTTTGGCGGCTGCACGGTGGTGCCGTTGGAAGCCCAAGCTCTTTCTACATGGAGTTTGCATGTTCTCCCTGTACATGTGTGGGTTCCCTCCGGGTACTCTGGCTTCCTCCCACAGTCCAAAAACATGACTGTTAGGTTAATTGTCTTCTCTAAATTCTCCTTAGGTGTTAGTTTGTTTGTTCATGGTTATGTGTCTGTGTGTGTCTCTGTGTTGCCTTGCCACAGACTGCCGAGCTCTCCAGGGTGTGCCCCGCCTCTCACACATAATGCCGGATGTAGGCACCGGTCTCAATGTGAACCTCACAAGGACTAATATAGAGACTAGAATGGATATTTTTTGGCTAATATCAGACACATAACTGATATTAATATCGGATCAGGACATCCCTATCCCAGACACCTAATTACACCGGGAGCGACTGTGCATAGTTTGACTTGGATCACGTCAGATATGCATCATCGCGCTATGGTACTTCTTTAAATAGAAAAACAAGCCTATACAGTGTTTATTTTACCAGTGCTACCAGAGTCTTGCATACCTGCTCTTTAACTGATCACATTTTCTTTTTTTTTTCTTTAGATCTATCATAGAGAAATTAGTTTAAATCAGTAGCTTTCCAGTCATTATTTTTAATTCAGTGCTCATATTTACTATGGCTTTTGATTAACTGTTTAAACAGAATTTATGACATAAAAAAAACAGAAAATGTGACCTACAGTCTGCATGTTGTCTTTTACTTGTTAAATCAACAGGTTCTACTTTGCTTTTCATCGGCTGATTTGCTGCCTGCTCTAGAGTTGGAGCAGCAAACAGCTAAAAAAGAAAAGTCGCCTATCTCAGAGAATCGACCATTGCATCTGGGACGCTTCAGTAACGCACTGCGGGGCACCCGGTCAAACCGCTCTGATTAACTTGAGTTGCTGCGATCAGCTGTGAAGCAGCAGAGCAGCCAGCCTGCATCGCTTCCACTTCCACTGGAACCAGGAGGTTAGGCAAATAGCAAAAACCTTTAGATTATGAAGAGAATATAAGAATAAGCATTAATGTACATTCATGTTTATATTGTGGAAGTGTAACTCAATCTGTTCCACCAACAACCGTCTGATATTTTCTTGTCCTTTTGAGATTTTTCCTGTCTAACCCCATTTTTTTTTGTTACACCAAAAGCCTTTAAGCCCTATTTCAATGGTGCCAGGTGGTTTAGAGATGGTTTCATAAGCAGCTGGATCAAGCAGCAGAAGACAACATCTGCTAGCTGACTTCTAAAACCTTTTATAGGAAGTCAATTTCCATCTGTCTAGTCTCACCGATCAAACGTGTTTAAAAAGTTGTGCTTGTTTGGATTTTACACAGGATTTAGTTGTCTGGATGATAAAAGATTCCTGCATCCTTCAGAACGAGTTGGTTTTTCATTCTCTATTTGGGTAAATACATTATATCTGGCTGATGTGTAAAGTTGAAAATGACTTGTATCACATATGTGATATTAGACAGCCATTGTTCCCTACTGATATTACTGTGGTTCCTCCCTGTTACATCTATGGGAAATGCTCAGTAAAATCTGCTGGGTTTAATTAAATCCCCCCAAAATCGTCCAGATTTTAGATCAGTTTGTTTGTATTACAAGTGGATATTACGCCCGAGTTTTTTTAAACATGAAATTTTAAATCCTACTTAACCCAGTCAGCCATGAGCTACAAAGGCCCTGAAATTTTTCTCAGGAGGTGAATTTGTATGGTCGAGTGCGTTACCTGGTACTGGCTGGTGAGCCGGGCATTGCTGAGGTCCAGGCTCTGATTGGTTTCTCTCAGGCCACTGAGCTCCCCCTCCAGTCGCGTCTTCTCCAGCTGGGAGGCACTCAGCTCCGCCTTTAGCACCGAGCCCTGAGCCAGCAGCTCTGCCTGTGAGGCCAGCCAGTCCTTCTGCTGGGCCTGCAGCCTGCAACACCATCATGCATCATCAGTGTGTGTCCTATGAAGGGCTATGAGTCACTGCTTGCTGAGTGCTCTCTAATTATCATTTTGAAACTCAATGCATATTGACATAGCCAGGCTGCATCCTGGAGGAAACCTTTAAAGATCACACTTTTACATAAAACAGTCATGCTTTCCTGATTTATTTCATGTTAACCCGATGAATTTAGATCAAAATATTCAGTCATTTTTTTCTTAAAATAAGTGCATTTTTTCTGGAATTCAGGAGGTAAGTGAAACACTTTGCAAGCATGCACTTTGCATGGAACAAGACAATTTACTTTTACAATAAGAAAAAAACATGCATTGTCTTATTTAGAGTGCATATTATCTAATTTTAGGAGTAAAAATACTCATTCAATTGGCAAATCATCTTATTTACTTGCTCAAATTAAGGTTAAAAATACACTTAATATAAGAAATATTTACTTATTTCTAGATCATTTTTGCAGGGCCGAAGAAGAGAACAGTTAAGTGGTCAAAGTGCATGAATCTGAGAGATAAACACTGGCTTTTGTGAGGATTAATTAGGAGAAACAGAAGTTGTGATTTAAAATAAAACATATTAGCTGAAGTTGCCCCTACAATTAAAAAAATCAAAACTATTTTACGTAAGCTTTAGGTTCAATCACAATAAACAAATTTGAAAGAATAGAGCTGTTTGCAACAGCAAAAAAGATAAGACAAGTTTGTTATGTAGCACAATGCAATGAGAGGACAATTCATAATGCTGTACATGAAAAAAAGTACATTGTAGTGGCATAAGGATGTAAACAATATTGAAAAAATGTGAAACGTGAAAAAATAAAATGTATAATAGAGAGACTAAAGTGATGCAAAATAAAGAAGTTAAGAAAAATAAAAGAAGGAAAAATAGCAGACAATCTCCAGTTGCGATTTAAATTTTCTAAATACTGTATTACAGAATTATTTGAAAGAAAATGGCTGCTTTACTATCCTCATATTTAAAAGATGTTAAATTATTAAATTCTTTAAATATTAAATTAATTTTATCCAGATTTAGACCTAAATCCTACATATAAATCGCCACTGATCTGAAAGCTGTGTAGTTCTTTCTCAACATACAGTATTCTTTCTCAGCACACTTGTGTAACCTGGCATGGTTCTAGGAACGCCTGAGGCAGCCGGGTTTGCTCAACACGTGAGCTTGACATAAAAAGCATCTGGACTGTTGGTGGTCACATTTTTACATGTTAGAAAGGTTGTCAAATCAAGATTATTGTTTGAATACCTTCGTAAGGCATTGCTGCCTAAAGCAAGACTAAGGCTGTCATGCATGGTGGTAGCAAGGTGGCCAAAAATCTTTAAACAATTAGAAAAAAAACTGCTGAAAGACTTATTGTCACTCGCCACACAGAACAGAGAAGACGCACACTAAACACTATAAGGCTCAGTAGCTAAGCTCAAAGGTGTCCACCAACCAAAAATCCAAAACTACGAGGAGGGTCAGCTTTAATTTGCTCCTAATATACAAACAAGACTCAGAGGTTTAATTATTCTGTTCTATTGAACAATAAATTAAAGCTGTATGTTTGTAGGTTGCTAGATTTGTGGTATATCAGAGAGCTGTGGTTCAGTGATGGGCTGCTTAATATGGTGCAACGACATGCAAGGGATGCAAGGCTGGTTGGATTCAATAACGTATCAGGAAGTCCTGGGAAGACGTTTCATCCTGTCAGTGAAGACGTTGAAGTTAGAGAACTTTAAATAGGAAAAAAATTAAAAGAATATTAATTAAATTGTCCACATGCAACGTGACTTTCGCAAAAACCTGAGCAATACTGGATTTTGCAAACACATCCAAGTTACACTGGTTAATCTTTCTATAAATAATCAGGAAATCAGTTTCTGTCTGTTCTTTTCTGGGCCGACGGTCTTTCTGTGTTCTAAGATAATAAAAGTTAGATTTGCACACGTTCATAAAAACAACATAACTCCATAAAGATTGGCTGGAGAAAAAAGTGGATCAAACAGTGCTGTTACAGAAGGAAATGATTGTCTTTATTATCAGGCTCTCAGGGCTCCGGCACGCACTGTTATAGCACTGTGAAGGGAAACTATTAATAATTTAAAGATTTTTGTCTGGCTCAAAGGCTTCCTAAAATAATTTTTTTTCTCCAATGACTTGTAAGAAACTAAAACACATCTGTTAAAAACTTCATGTTGCTCTTCCATAGATGATACATGTGGCCCTGCCTTTCAGTGGTTAACTCTGCATCTACAAAAAATGGCTATTTGCTTAAATGACTAACAGGATATTTATGCCCCCACACACACACAAACACATGTTCTGCTATATGTAGTGAGGACCATGCGTAGACGTCCATTGATTTTCAGTCATTTTTAACCCTTACTTTGCCATAACCTTAAAACTAACCAGTCCCAATGCATACCTAACCCTAACCCAATTGACACCTTGAGGGAATCGCTTATTTTGAACAGGGATCTTTAAAAGGGTGAAGCCTTTAAGCAGTTATGCATATTCCTATATAATACAGCATTAAAGTCTGACATGTACAGACTCCATCTCAGCAGGCTGTCATTAGCGCCATCAGTCAGTAATCAGTTGCTTCAGCGTGATGATGGCTGATTAATTAATTATAGTACACAAGCATCTTATGATGATGATCATTAATATTATATACCCATCATTCTCGAGAGAAATTACAATCAGAACCACTTATTTTAAACTGTAGATCTCAGTAAGCCTGATTTATTGCAGAAATAAATACAAAAACTCATTAAAAAAGATATCTAACAGTGTATATTCACTCAGATGCTATAATAAAGTAGTTTAAATTCTCCTCAAAACAAACTTTACTTTCACTTGGAGTACTTTTGTTTTGTTTCTTATGTTTTATGGAGTGAAACCTTGTTTTTTCAGTTCTCAAGCCCAAACGTCTGCAATCAGGGACAAAAATGCGTTCAGTGCATTATTTAGTACATTTGCATTCAAATCGATTCCTGTGTAGCTCGCTTTGCCTCATACAGAGGCATTACCGCGGCAGCTCCCTGCATCCAAATGAACAGCATTGCCATGAAAGGCTGATCAGATCTCATGAAAGTGACTCTGAGGAAGCTGTCTGGATCAGTTACCTCTCGCAGTCGTCTTTCAGCCTCTCCAGCTCTCGTTCTCTCTCCAGCGTCTTCTGGGCTTCTGCTTCCATCTTCTGCCTTTCCAGCTTTATTTCTCTCTCCCTCTCCTCCAGCTGGGTTTTACTATCCAGGAGCTCCTTGTACCTAAAAACACAAATAGTATTAAAATCTATAGGAATATTAACTCTAGACAGTGGACTAAAGAATCCTTTGTCAGATGTGTAGATATTGATGATTTTTTTAGGAGTTTTTCTACCTCCCCTCCAGCTCCCTGTGTTGAGCCTCCAGGTTGCGATAGCTGCCCCTTAGCTGTGAATGTTTCTCCAGCAGCTCCTCCAATTCCACCTCCTGCTGCTGCTGCAATGCTGCCATCCGCTCATGGTCACGCCTCAGAGCCTCCATCCTGGCCGACGACTCCTCTCGTTCCCGTGCCCACACCTTTGACTCAGCTTCCAGGGTTGCGCGTCGGGCCTCGCTCTCACTGCAGCGTGCCAACGCTATTGCATGCTGGGAGCTTAGAGATGCTTGATCCACCTGAGTGTGCAGATATGACAGAGAGACCATGTATGTAAATCTGTGTATCATACATGACCATGAAGGCTTGTTGTGTAGCATGTGCTCTAAAAATAAGGTAAGACAAGATTGACAAGATATCCTTCTAGAAAGCCCTAAAGAGATGTTAATATAGACACATTTCAAAAGGTCCAGCATATGGGAAATCAGTATATAAAATTAGAGCTGACTAAATGTGCTGTATATACAAACATACTCATAAGGTCTGTATATATGTCTAAATCTGCCCAAAATCTCCATCTTCTGGCATTGTACCACCTCCTTTGTGACAACAACACAATTTGTCTCAATATTATTCAATCAACAAAAAAATAATCTCAATAAAAAAATAAGTTGTGTTCTAAACTTCTGGACTTGTAATGAAAGATATTTTTTTATGGAATTTAATAGTTGTAAAGAAATGTTTTGTTAACAGTTCTATTTACATACAGTTTTTCTCACAAAGAGAAAAGTTATTTGCAAAATAAACTTTTATTTGCTTATCAGAAATCTGGTTATGATTCTCAAAATGTTGGTTTTGATGCTTCCTTTTTATGAATGAACTCAAAGATATACATTTCATTATATGTCATTCCAATTTAAACAATTTTCTTTAAATTATGATTAGTTTTTGGTTAAATAAATAATACTGAGACCAGTGTATCTCTTTATATAACGACAGCAGATATTTAGATATCTAGTTTCAGAAGTAGTGCAAAAGATATAAAACTGCAGCCATTTTTAATAGAATTCAGAAAAATGTCTGTTCAAATAAATGTTTACATTTAAATAACCTACACCCATGAATTTGAGCAGTCTGGTCAGTAGAATATGATCTGCATTTTGATTAAAGCAACAGAAAAAAAATAGTTTTGAGATACAGTTGGTAGAATTGCATAAGGAAATCCATCTTTGAAGATCTGCTCTGCACCTCTGAACGTTTGCACGTTTATATACATGCGAACCCCGACATTAAATGCAGGATAATATCTGCCTTCACAAGTCCCATTATTCATAGATACAGTTGGTGTGGTCAGATCAATCTGACTGTATGATCTGGTTGAATTGTCTCTGTAAACTGCCTTGAGCTGACATGTTGTAAAGTGGCGCTATATAAATAAGCTGAATTAATTAATTGAATTGAAAATTGAATTTCAGCATTAAAAAATGTAGGTTTTAGTTGTTTTTAAAGAAAAAAAAGGCAGAAGACACTATGGATATGTATTTAGCCAAGGTAATACATTTGGGTAACAAGTAAAACATAATCTCTAACTATCTCTGTATGTTACCAGATCAAATCATACTTTTGTTGAAACATAGAGGTGGCAACTCTGTCCAGTATGACAGAGTTGCCAAATTGAGTTTTAAATGTTGGTATAGAAAACCTTGCAGTTGTGAAAGCAGCTCAGTTAATGTAAACTTTCGGTGTAAAATGGTTCTATAAACACGAGTCCTTCTCCTGATGCATTCTGGGTTGGTGTATTGCATAAACTCCCAATAAAATACCTTTTAGTTTGAGATTATAATGTTGAGTCATCTGAAAGGGTTAAAGAGTAAAGAAAAAGTACAGAAATTTGGATCCTTTTTATCATGCAATAGAGAGGCGGGAAAAATGTTTACACAGTAATGTTTGCTCTAACACCAAAGTGCACTCATCAGAAAGATCTGTACTTTTTAATAAAAAATGGGATCACGCTGAAAAGAATCCGTGAAATTTGTGGGTCTCTAAATTATTCATATCATGCTATTTTTGCCATACATTTAAATATTTCATAGATCGTGTGTAAAATGGTACCGCAGAGATTGCTCTCTGTCTCTTCTGGGCTTTACATAACTACCAGCATGACAGTGATTATGAATACTTAACACATCAGGAAAGTTCTTTGAAAATTGATAGCATGTTTTGGTTGAAAACGGGTCAAAAAGTGACACTAAAAGGTAATGAACTCCTGGTTTCAGCCATCCTCCAGCTGTCTGTGTGTGTGGTCACCTGTAGCTGAGTGTTGAGTGTCTGTAGGCTGGTGCAGGAGTCCTGCAGACTGAGGGAGTGGCGACGCAGGGCTTCCAGCTGCTCCTTCAGGTGCTCGCACGCCTCCTGGGACTGAGACAAGCGCATCTGCAAAGCCTCTTGTCCTGCCACTGCCACAGCTCTCTGATGGAGAGTAAAAGAAGCTTTAATTATTATAGGATCTGCAGCAACACTGTGGTACCAAATACATCTAAAAAGATGCAAATTAATTTGATTTCAGTTGAATCAGCAGATAACCTTGTAAAGATCTCGTGTGTAGGGTGGACTTTTGGGAGGTATCTGATATCTGACTCATCATCAGACTTTTGAATGCAGCACTATAACTGCAATAACTTGTGCAATAACTAATGTGCAATCACTATTTAATATCCTATGCAATAAGCTGTTTCATATTTAATACCCTGTGCAATAACCGTGTGTAATAATCCTGTGAAATAAGAGATTACAGCTGTTACATACACACACACACACACACACACACACATATACACATATACACATACACATATACATACACATATACATATATATATACACATATACACACATACATATATATATATATACACATACACACATATATATATACACATACACACATACATATATATAAATATACACATACACACATACATATATATATATACACATACACACATACATATATATATATACACATACACACGTACATATATATATATATACACATA